TTTTCTATTTGATTTGGCATGAAAGCCACAAATGAAAACAGATTATGGACTTCATTCTTATTCTTAGTAGGTTCCTGGCACAGACTGCTGTGCTCTCTGTGAACTCACTTCCCCTTGCCCACCCTCTGCAGCCATGCTCATGTCACTCGACATAGGAAAAAGGTGATAAAATCAAACTCCAGAGCTTTTACGTTTTATGGACAAAGTTTAAAAAAACAAACCAAAATCTTTCACAAAGTTGAGATAAATGTGTGATAAATAAGTCCTTATAAGAGAGTTTGTAATTGAGCTTTTAGCTCTTAGTAACAATTTGATAGGAAGAGAATTAAAAGTCAGAAATTTTATTCAAATTATAATAAGATATGTGAGATGAATTATAACACTATCCACAGGAGACCAACGCCCGACCAGTTTTAGCACATTCTCTTTCACTTTTTTTACACTATCTGGTTGTGGATGGATTAGGACTGACGTCTAAAGCAGAGGAGTGCCAAGGAACTGGTTCTTATTCCATCATAATTAATTCAAATGTACTTACTAAGGGCTTACCAGTCTTCACACTGGAATTAGGCTGCGTTTCACTGGTTGTGAGAGCTTTTACAGTTACATGCATCCCTTGGGTGATGTACTCCAGTCATATGACACAGTCATGAACTCGCTCTATGAGTAGTAGTATTAATATTGATTGTATTTTGGTGTAGCACAAACATGTATATTTCAGTGTGTGTGCAACTTTCCAGACAGTGGCCGTCTGGCTGTCTGAGAGCCTGGTGCTGTTATCCTTCAGAATCACTGGGTGAGGGTTGATTCAGTTGTGGAAATGAATTGAAATTGATATCCACCTTTAGTGTAGGTTCTTAAGTTGAGGAAAAGTAAAAGCGGAGCCAGGGAATTACACGTAATATGCACAAAGACACACAGACGGCTCACACGCACATGTGCCTAGTGCTGGTGACAGCTGGGGTTAGAAATAGGACGTCTATATCCAGATATGCATGGCAAGGCAACTCAAGGGGACACAGCAGTCATTGTTTTTGTGCTCCTAAACACACACATGCGCACACATACACACAACCCAAGTGACATAAAAAGTGAAGAACAAAGCTTTCCTCCATCCTACACCCCCTGCAAGAGTCAGCCCTCCTTCCCTCGTCCCACAAAGCTTTTTTGGCACTGTAGACCGCTGCAGCCTGTTTCACTACAAACTGACCTATAACCTTTCATTCTCAGTCATTTAAATGTAACCGTATACTTGCACAGAAAATGCTTTGTCACACTTTTACAAACCAGAGCATTGCCATGTTGGGGTTATCAAGCATGCATGTCTTGTGCCTGATGATACACTAGATTTTAACAGATGGGGTTTTAAAAATGCAAAAAGATGGTTGTATCCAGTGTTCTGTCTTTGTGGCACATTTTATTGTTGACTTTTGACACAGCATGAAACCTTTTCCTTTTATTCTCTTCTCTTTCTGTCTTGACTGTCAATCACAAAGTTTGGCCAGCGTTCTGAGTGACACGGAAGCAGTTCCAGGAGTGACAAGTATCTATAGGCAAAGCCCTACCCTTTAACCACTGAGAAACCAGCTTAATGCAACCCTTTTGCTGTTCCATCAAAGCAAAAGATGGCATAGATATCGGTGATACAGAGCGGCCTATTTTTACTTGGAACTTTGTGACTTTGAGTCCTGTTTGGCTTGGCTGAGCGTAACTATGGCGTGCCCAGCCAGATCTGCTAAATACATTAGAGGGAATGGACAGAGGGAAGGAGGAGGAGGAGTAGAACATGCAAGGGATTGGGAGATGGCACCACACGTGGAGAAGCTATTCCTGACAACTGAGTTTCGATAGTATAAACACATTTACACACATCCTCGCGCACATACCGTACTGCTTTAAATGGTCACATATAGAAAACGCTATGGTTTTCTATTATTTGGCTGCAGCGCTTAGGAGCGGAGGCCCATGCATTTGAGGCTTTGAGGGCTGCACACAGCAGAAGGAGATTATGGGGGTGCAATGCCAGATATAATGTGGCTGAGACTGCGTGGAGCCCTAAGGGTCTGCCCTGTCTGTCAATGTGGTCGCACACAGATGATGTCACTGCTTGCATGCACATGTCATGCACACATGAAAGCCTGCAGACAGGTTGAATCTTGTTTGTTGTGCTGCTTGAACCCGTTTATGTCTTATTTTTCTGTTTTTTTTTTTTTAAGATTAGGAGAAATTCCAAACCTCTTTAAATTGGCCGTGCATAATTCATCATAATTTTAAAGAGAGCCACTAGAGGGAGTGTATCAGGTGATTATCTTTTACTCCGCTGACTCTTTGTTAAAGCCAGAGTACTTTCAATACGAGCTCTGTTTTAGCCCCTGCACTCTCCATCCCTCGTCGGCTCGTGTTGTCCAAAGCAAACACAAGTGTATTGCAGCCCATGTCAAAGGTGGAGATGATGTCATGGACAGACTGCTCATTGACAGTGACAGATTGCAGCCATGCGATCAGTTCATCAATATTACCTTTCACTGACACTCAACTGAAGCAGTGAGAGAGAAAAGACGTAAAAAGACTGGAATACACCCTTTCTGACATCATAAGTTCTGCCTGCACAGTCCAGTGGTCTCTAAAGGCAACAGACCTGCCAAGCCAAAGCAAACTGCAATGAATGTTACTTTTGCTATTGTGTTCCAAATCTGCTTTTTCCACGTCTCTGCTTTGTTCTTTTCATGCTGTTCTCCTTGGTCTGCTCAATGGCTGTGTTATGGTACTGAGTTAATTTCATCAGAGCGACATCTCAAAAGGCCCAAGCTATGACTCTGAGTTTCCCTCACTGCAGTTAAAAGGCTTTGTTTTATCATCACACCCCTAATTGTCTCCCAGACCTCTTTCAACTTCTCCCTCTCCTCTCTTTTTGTCTTGTTTCAGACAGACACAAACACTGACAACTACTTTGAAACACAGAGACAACAAAAGAAGGGCTTTGTGTGCAGACATGTGCTCAGCTTGAGCATTGTGTAGGAGTGCAGCAACTGTCCAGAGCAGCCGTCTGTACCAGATGTAGGGGTCAGTCAGAGGGGCCAGTATCAGTGTCCCCTTCCCCAGTCCCCGTGGAGCTATAGCCTTTATTAATCTTTCCTCCTCAGAGGCCTCATAAATGACCGCAGGTCAGAGTCAGTAGAAAGACTGGTAAAGTGGATGATAGCACGAGGATTCATCACATAAAATATTGTTTATGTGTTTTATTTGTGTCATATGCATACTTAAAAGTTTTTAAGGAGACTTGTAAATCTAAACTACTATCAAGAAACTCATTTCCTTCTGATTATTGTATATGAGATAGCAGTCATTCAAAAGGGTAAGTCTATGGTCCTTTTGTGTGTGAGATTATGAATTCTTTAGTTTAATGTATGTGCGAAATCTGCAGCCAGCAGCAGGCTGGCTTTTTCTCTAGAGGTGAAAGACATTCCTAAAGTTAACTGTCCAGATTATACATGCACTGTGGGAGTGATTTTTTTTGGTGAATATGGCCATCCAGCAAGGGCCACCGCCCGCCATTGAAAACTTGTTTCCAGTCTGCTACTGGCCTTTTGCCTGCATCGCACATTTATAGTTTTGATAATTTAACAGCAACAGGGGCAGGAATCATTCACATTCCAGAGAGTTTAGGCATTAATGTTCAGATCGCCGTAGAATATTGTTAAAGCATCATCTCTCTGGTCTCAAAAGTGTGATGAATGAGTTGTGTCAGGGCTGGACGGTTCTCCTCATTGCAGGATGTTTTGAAGAGTTACATGCTCAATAAATCTTCCCTTATAAATACGAGTGGAACGTGCATAAACAATTGGTCTCATTTTGAAAGTAATCTAAATATTTGTAGACTTCGCCAAGGGGTAAAACGTGCATCTATCTCGTGAGAGTCCAGTTAAACTTGTTCGGTTAAACTTGCCAGAACATTTATGAGCGTATTTCCAGGATTTTATGCTAGTATGCAAAAGTATGTGTCAAAACTGGGTCAGTTTCCATTTGCAGATAATTATTGGTGTTTGTTTTAACTTGCTGGAAGAACCAGATGGTGGTTATGCCGCAGGTTAGCTTAAAACACTGTCAGGTGAGTTTTAGTTTGACTTTGAAAATCTTGTGATTAAGGTTCCTGCTGTCGACATGTCATGTGTTGGAGTAGACCTACAGTACCTTACCACTTTCTGGCACAAGAGGCTAAGCATAAACAGTTGCTAGCAAGAAGCGTGTGACTCTGCAGGGGTTTGTGGACAGTTGTTCATCATTACTTCCATTGATTTGGCATTAGCACGAGGAGGATACTTTATGGAAGCGTGCATGATTTAAAGTTTGGGGAACCAGAGAGGTTAAGAGGCTAAGCTATAGGCATACTTTCCCAGGCTTTCTGCGTTATTGTACATTTATGCGTGTAAGCATTTGCTGTTCTGATCTGTGTTATCGATAAAACATTTGACAAACAGATCTTAATTCCCAGTGTGTTATGTTCTGCCCACTTTAAGATATTGTCACCCAGTGGATAAAAGTTGTTATCCTGTGGATAATTATAAGTTATGACTGTCCTCAGTTTGGTCCAACCCACTGTGGATCCTGGACAGACTCAGACGTCCATTGTCATGCTCTTTCAGTGCTTCCAGATCCAGCTGGAAACTTCTGTCTAAAATGTTATATATATCTATTTTATGGGAAAAAAGCTGAAATTCATCAGGCAGTGTCTTTAATATCTGTTCTATACCACTATAAATGTGTTAGCACCTTGTCATGTGGGGATTTAAGATACATACTCAGTGAAAATAAAAAAGAAATGAACATTCTCTTTTTGTTTCATGCAAAACAGCTAAAGTGAATTTTCAAGAGGGAATTTTCAATAGAGAATGAAAAGCGCTGTACACTTGCTCAATTCAGGTTTAATAAAATATACCTGCACTTTTAAAAAGTCATATTTTTGTGGCTAATATTTTCTTCCCTCTCTTCTTTTCTTCCAGGAGTTTTAGAACCCAGCCATGCCGATAACAAGTAAAGGGTCAAGAGGGAGGTCTTGGGTCAGTGAACCCTGTGTGCGCTCACGTCTTTGGCATCAGAAGGTCTATTTTTATTTCTGTGTCATCCTTGTTCTGGTCCAGACAACAACTGTTCTCGGTGCACTAGAACTCCAGCTGGATGAAGAGCAACCGGCAGGGACCATTGTTGGGGACATCAGTGCTGGGTTACCGCCTGGTGAAACTGCAAGTCTTTATTTCATCTCGGACCACGAAGGCACAGGTGTCAGCCATGACCTCAATATTGACGAGACCACAGGCATCATTACCACTGCACGCCGTCTGGATCGTGAACAGAGGGACCACTATAACTTCATTGCTGTTACAATGACCGGGGTCACTATTGAAGTGTCAATCACTGTCAACGACATCAATGACCACGCACCTGTGTTCCCAAAAAAGAGTGCTGTTCTTAAGATCCCTGAGCACACAGCTGTGGGCACAAGGTTTTCTCTGGAGCCAGCGACCGATGCAGACAAGGACCAGTTGACCACCCAAGGCTATGCTATTCGTGAGGGCAATGTAGGCCAGACATTCAAACTTGAGACCAAGAGAGGTGCTAACAAGGCGCTATATCTAGACCTGGTAGTCAATGGACTGCTTGACAGGGAAAAACGCTCATCGTACACCCTGGTAATAGAGGCTTTTGATGGGGGCTCACCTAGGAAGATGGGATCTATGACCCTGGAGGTGACTGTGACTGACATAAATGACCACGCGCCAGTCTTCAATCAAAGCAGATACCACTCTATTATCTCTGAAAGTCTCCCACAGGGAAGCAGTATCCTCCAGGTTAGTTTTTGTGCTCTAATTTGTTTCTAAAATTATGTTTTTGACTCCACATTCATCAGGATTTTTTTTTTGCTGTCTGTGCAGGTGTTTGCCACAGATGAGGATGAAGGTGATAATGGGCTGGTGCTTTATGAAATCAACCGACGTCAGAGTGACCCTGAACGCTACTTTGTCATTGATGTAAAGTCTGGGGTCATCACTCTGAATAAACCCCTGGACTATGAGCTTAAGAGGGTTCATGAACTGGTGGTCCAGGCCAGGGATAATGCCAGCCACCCTGAGGTAACTGCATTGTGGCCCCTTCATTATAGTGCATTAACAAAGCCGTACAGTGTGTTTAATGGTTTGTAGCATATCGTATTATATACTTATATTAGATAGAAAGTGCTAATGAGCCGCAAAGAGCACGAATCCTATTGATTGATACTGATGGTCCAAATTCATTATTATCTAGACATGGATTGCTCGCTGGTTCCATTAAATTTTGTGGTTCCCAGATGATGAATGTCAGTGACACATTGTGGTTGGTTTCACCATTTTTAAGACAAATATTGTATGGCATTGCTATCTAGTCTGTTTCAGGATTTGTGATCCCCTGAGTTTCCTCTATCACCATCATCAAGTCAAAGCTAATTTGTTTTTCCATCACTTTGGTTTAGAAGAGTGACTGTAGGCCTAGCAGCACCTCTAGTATGAAGAACAACTTTATTGCTTGACCAACACATTTCAGTCTGTAGCCTTCATCAGTGTCAACACGTGGTGACATGATGAAGTGTTGCTGGAGCTTGTTTTCCTGACCACTAACATGTTTAGCCTAAATTAGTCTTAAATAGCCAATTTAAGCATACCAACAGTACAAACTAACATAATGAATGTGAAGAACTTGTGCTGCGCTGATGAATTCCCAGTAGAAGAATTATCTAAATCCTATAACTTGTTTTCACAGGTGACCAATGCATTTGTGACTATTCATGTCCGTGACTACAATGATAATCAGCCTACTATGACCATCATCTTCCTCAGTGAGGATGGTTCTCCAAGAATCTCAGAAGGAGCCCAGCCCGGCCAATATGTAGCTCGGATATCTGTCACCGACCCAGATTATGGAGAGTACGCCAACGTCAATGTGTCCCTTGAGGGTGGTGATGGGAAGTTTGCTCTTACAACCAAGGACAGTATCATTTACCTTATATATGTTGACCAGGTCTTGGACAGAGAAGAGCGGGATTCATATGACCTGAGGGTGATGGCCACAGATTCTGGCACACCCCCGCTCAGAGCAGAGTCCTCTTTCACCATCCAGGTGACTGATGTCAATGACAACCCCCCTCTGTTTGACCAGCAGGCGTACAGACAAACCATTCCTGAGGTTGTGTATCCTGGATCCTTTGTTCTTCAGGTTACTGCCAGGGACAAGGACCAGGGCCCCAATGGGGATGTGCGATATAGCCTGCTAAAGGGCAAAAACTCTCACTCTGATTGGTTTTCGATCGATCCAGTTACTGGGATCATTACCACAGCAACTGCTCTGGATTTTGAATCAGAGCCAGCGCCTAGTGTGACTGTGGTTGCGATGGATAGCGGACGCCCGCCGCTGTCATCGACAGCGAAAGTGGACATTGTGCTGCAGGATGTTAATGACAACACGCCGGTGTTCTCCAGCAACTTCTACAATACCTCCATCAAGGAAAACACCCCAGCGGGGACTTGCTTCTTAGAGGTAGGAGAAACCCTGACAGAGAAAGTTTTCTCCTCAGCTTTTTGCTTCTCCTTCTAACTTATAAATCTTTTATCTATTTTTCTCTCTACTTGTCTTCATTTTGTAGAGGAACTGACATTTTTAATTCTTTGAGAGCTCTATCTTGCAGTGTGTTGAACACAAAACTATTGTCCTACTTACGCAGCCAAAACCTAGTATTCACTGTCTTCCCAGTCCTCTCATCTCTTTATTCCCTCTCTCTTTTCACAAACACACTCCCTGTAAAACCCACTATGATTACTCCCCTGGCAAAGGCCTGATTTATACATCAATATAAAGTGGTCTGGAAATCAAAGTCACGTCTGAAGTGAAAAGCAGTCTCAAAGTCCTGCTTCACAATGGATGGGGCACTTGGAAGCACTGACACATTGTGATGTGATTCATAAAGTCTGGGATATTCAATGATCTCATTTAAAGGGAAACTATATCTAACAGAAAGAAGAAAAAGAAAAGCAGGGAGGGTGTCTTTACCTGAATTCCTGAAGCTCCTTTGAGGAGATTTACTCTCTTCTGGTGTGTCCTCTCTCTCACCTCGTAGGATTGCCATGGTAACTTAGCCAGAAATGTGGGGTGAGCCCTTGGTATCGGTGCAGTACCTCGCTTCAGCTTAACTGTCTTGTTTTCGTCACGATTTCAGCAGCTTTCTTATATGAGGCGGACCTCGCCTGATTAAAAAGGAGAGTTAGATTGTCTTCCAGAAAGGTCTTAACATGGCATCGTGCACAGATCAGACCAGCAGATTTTACAAGCCAGTTTTAAACGCTTTGACATGAGGCAGAACCCCCCCCCAACCCCCCTTTTTTCAAAATTTTTAAGATAGCTCGCTGCTGGGCCTAAAACACCACTGAGATTCTAATAAAAGGCTCTGGTGCCGTATTAAAACCAGAAAGACTAGTAGAGTTTCATGTTCTTGTAGGTTCACTTATCATGCATTGGAAAAGCTGGCATATGGGCTGGCTCCTTTGGGAAGACATGAGACGTGACGAAATGTAATGAGGACTATAAGATGTAAATGAAGTAAAACAGCAGAGGAGAGAGGGATTGATATCTAGAAAGAACAAGAAATGCACAGATGGAACCTTTAAATGTTTTCACAGTCAGATCCAGGCGGTGATTTTGTCTGAACCCTGTACTTTGTCCTCAGTTAGCTTGCCCTTTTGCATTATTATTCACTAATAATGAACCCTCTAGACCCTCATTCCAGTTGTTGCAACAGTTGTAATCAACTGTTACTGATTTTTTTCTTTCTAATCCTAGCCGGCAGTTATTCTGGCACTAGGTGCAGGCTAATCCCATGCCAGACATCACGGGTAGTTTTCCAGTGTGCCAGAGAGATTGAATAAGGTTTGATTTAGTCATTCCGGCACGTTCCTCAATGCTTGCTTCATCTGTGCCGAGAAACTCCAGGCGAGAGTCTCCCCACAAGAGCTGCAGTTTTTCAGTATAATGGCAGCTGGTGTTAACTTTTTTCTTGGCCAGTGAAACATGGACACACAAGCGCACAAAATAATCTGAGACCTGACATCATAGCTTAATGAATCCTGTTCCAGATATGTTTTGAACTGATCATTTAAATGGTAAATGGTAAATGGCCTGTATTTGTATAGCGCTTTTACTAGTCCCGCCTAGGGACCCCAAAGCGCTTTACACACCCAGTCATCCACCCATTCACACACACATTCACACACTGGTGGAGGCAAGCTACAGTTGTAGCTACAGCTGCCCTGGGGCAGACTGACAGAAGCGAGGCTGCCATATCGCGCCATCGGCCCTTCTGGCCAACACCAGTAGGCGGTAGGTGAAGTGTCTTGCCCAAGGACACAACGACCGAGACTGTCCGAGCCGGGGCTCGAACCGGCAACCTTCCAATTACAAGGCGAACTCCCAACTCTTGAGCCATTTAATTATTGTAATTCACTTGCATCATTTTTTACACTGTCAGCTAGTGGGAAAGTCGAGATTTGGGTCAGCTAGCCTGCTTGGATTCAGTTTACATATTTTTTTAGGGTGTTATTTGGCACAGATTAGCCGTTTGTGAGATTTGTCACGCTCCACACAGTTAAGACAATGGCAGAATTGTACAAATATTTACAATATTTAGCAATCACTGTTTGGAGTTTGGAACTACTACGCTGGCCCGGCTGGCTAAGTTTGGATTTCGGACACTTAAAAATGGGGGGAAATCAACTAATGTTTAATATCTAAACAAGGAAATGTGTTATCAGGAGACATGTATGAAGAACGTTCTATATGCTGCTTTTCTTTCAGTCTTTCCTGAGTCCCACAATTTGCTTTTTGTTTTGTTATATCTTTATTTTCATTGTCATTTGTTTTCTCCCAGTTTTTCCCATGTTTCTGTCTCGTTACATCTTTCTCCATAGGTTGATTTTGCTTTCGCTCACTCTTCACCCACACATACACACAAATATAGTACATGCAGTGTGTAGGAAGCTTCTTATCAGTTTGGCCACTCTAGTAATCTGTAATGTGCTGCACTGTTTATATGGCCACGGCACAAAGGGGTTATTTATTTCTCAGTTTCCTCGCTTTCCTTTTCTTCCGCTTCCTTAAAGTATTTCCCAGGCTGGAGAGGTTAAAAAGTGGCTGTGTGTGTTTGTGTGTGTGCGAGTGTGTGGCATACACATTTGCCGGAATCGGGTTCACAACCTGAGAAGGTAAAGGTCATGAGAACGTTGGAGATTTTAGCTGGTGGTGAAAAGCAAGCAAAGGTAGTCCTTAAAAACTAAAAATTTGCATGTGATGGTCGCTGAAATCATCTGATCTCATGTCATCATTCTTTCTGAATGACTGCTACTTCTACTGAGTGCATATGATGATTACTTTCAGATTTCTTACTCGTTTAAAATTTGTGTTTTTCAGAGTTTTCCCATTTGTGTGCGTTGTTCCTTGCAGAGCCTCTGTCAAATCCAATGACATGCTGAGTTCCAGCATAACCTGACTGCTGGAAAGGCACTGTTAATCTCACAAGCAGTAGCACGCACACTCTCGTTGTAGCTCCAAAACAGCCCCAACGGACATCAACAAATTGATGCTTTGCTTTGATTAAAGAATAAAGCAAATCAAGTCCAAATTAAATAAAAGTGAAATGATGATTTCAAAACAAAAAGATAAATTAGCTTAGATAGTTAAAAACAAAACAACAAAGCGGAAAGCAAGTTTTTTTTTGTGCGTGTATATACGAGTATGCGCATGTCCGTATGTCATCCAGTATGTCTGTGTATGTGTATGTGACCTCACTTTCAGCAGGTGATCTCCCCTGTGATGTTCAGCATGTGGTTTCCTGGTCAGAGCTGTTGAAAAACACTCATCCAGACAGACACACAGATGTGCTCTTCTGGGAAATGTACTATATGAAGAGATGGGAAATAGCTTGTTGGCATTGCTCTACAAAAGCAGTGAAGCGCTGTAGTACCACAGCCCAAATACACAAATCTGCTTAGTAAACTCGAGTTATAAAATTAGAGCTGCTGGCTTCAGGCAACTGAGAACATGATGATTTTATGACAGTCTCACTAATCCAAAACACTGTCACTCCTAACTGGACACGTTTTGTTAGGCTTAGACACCAAAATATTCTGAAGTTCATTCAGACCACTTTGAGGTGCATACAGTCAACCTGGGAGGAGTACAGTACAATATAAAACATGACATTTCCTGTTTCCACTAGGTGGCGCTCTAAAAGTTTCTTACTACTATCGCACGACTCATCAAACCTGTTAAGTTTTGTGCAGACTGGACAATATATCTTTGAATTACAGCAATTGCGTGCTTCATGACAAAACATCGAAATTTAACACGCCGGTAGGGTAACGCCCTGTGATGAAAACTTAGTTTACAAAATAATGTAACACCAACTCCTTAAGGCTTTCCCGAATAAATTTTAGATGTCTCAGGTCAGTCAGCTGGATCCAGTACCCCAAACTGTTAAAAATGTAATTTGAATGTTTCCACCATATGGCTCTGTGACTGTCGTTTAATATTGCCATATCACACTTGAGAAGTTTGGGTTATTGTTTGAGGCATAGTTGTGCGGTAGTTGCACCATCACCTGAGAGCAAGAAGTTCTTGAGTTCAAATCCATCAGCTGGCTGGAGTCTTTTTTCTGTGTTGTCACAGAATCTCACATAAGTACATATGGGCATGCCTTTGAAGGTAACCGAAACTAAGGGAAAAACATATAGGTGGGGGAGGTTTCTTTTAACAGGTGGAGTTAGTCTTTCTGAACCTACCAGAAAACCACTTAAGCAAACACAGCATGTCTATCTGTCAGAGCAATCAGCCCTTTTGGTGTGAAGTCCAAAGTCAGAGATCCCACAGCTAAATTCTATTCAGCCTCTATAAGGAACGCTTACACACATGCACACTGAGACTAATCACATTTGATAAACCAATAGCAATAGCTCCAGAGAAACATTGTGGCTCACTGAAAGCAGGAAGGTATTCAGCATAAGCTTCCTGTAACACCAAACCAGTCTCCCAGTCTCCTGCTGGTGTTGCGCTGAATCTAACCCCCATGGAAACCAGAGCCAGAACAAACCACAGCTTCCACTTGGAGCCCATTCCCCTTTTCCAGCCCAGTCTCAAAACACACTATAGTTTTTTATTTAGCTTGAAAAAGTGTGAGGAAGATGAAATTTATTGTCTGCTTGACGTCTTCCCTCACTCTTGCTCTTGCACAGCAGTAGCTGGTCTTTAATAAGGCCCGCGCCTGTTGAAACTCTCGCCCGTGACTTGGGCGTTTTGATTAATCTGCCAGTGTGATGAATTGACTTGGATCAATAGCTGAATGGAGAAAGAGAAGAGGTTTCAGCGCTCACTGTCATCACATGCCACAATTTGCATTTAACAGGTGATAGTCGACAACAAATGCTCGGTTTTGCACAAAGACGCGAGCGAGACTGAAAAGTTGGTGAATCGTTTCATGCTGTTAACAGCTGGCC